GTTTGGGGGGATGTAACAGTGGACACAGAGGACTGGTGACAGACTGGAGGGGAGGTGTGAGAAGAGGCTAAATGACCTCGATTTGATTATTTTTTTTCCCCTGGAGAGGCCCAGAGGTGAATCCAATTGCAGCCTGAAGGGGAGTTGGAGCCAGGCTGTGCTGACAGGTTGGGCACAAGCAGCTGTAGCAAGTTACAACCAAGAAATCAGACCTGGAATTACACAAATATCAAACCCCTTCATCAGCTGAGAGTGGAACTATTGGAATGAGTTGCCCAGTTCTGTCCTTGGCTTCCAAATCCAGGGAGACAAGGCCCTGAGCAGCCTGGTCTAACTGCTTCGAGCAGGAGGTTGGGCTGGACACCCTTCCAGACTCAATTTCTCTGAGGTTCTGTCTGAAAGATGTAAAAAAAAAAAAAGTAATAAATTTTTGCCTGACTCCTAAAACACAAATGTATCAAAAGTGGGCCTGGAAGTGTGTGCCTGGAGTGCTGAAGTGTCAGTGTGCACATCTTCTACCAGAACTAGAAATGAATGAATGGGCTGTGAGAGTCACTTTGACTGGAGCGAGCAGAAAGCCCAGTTGGGAAGTGGCTCATAAAGTAGGGAGGTAAGAGGAGTTAGAAAAGGGCTTAGCTTCAAATCTCCCTTCCATGGAAGGGAGGCCATAACTGGTATGGTGATTTCCATGTTTCTTTGTTAGGTCATTGATCAGAATAGCAGAAGGAAGTACAAAGAGCATCATTTTAGGCTGCTGTGCTGGCAGAAAACGGAAGTGGAAAGGCCGTGTTTAGTGGGGCAGATGTTGATGATGACCTCTGATTCTCTCTGTGGGGGTCACACCACTGCTCTGCACATATTTGAAGTCAAAAATCGACAAGAGCAATCTCCCAGGTGCTGACTGGGTTCTTTTGAGGGTCTTTGGTTTGTAGTGTGAAAAGTTGAAGCTGTCTTTGCTCCCAGTGAATCAGCAAGAGTTCAAACCCCTTCAACCTTGTTGTTCTTTTAGATCTGCTTAAATCTCAGGAGATCCTTTAAGTTCCCTGGGGTTCAGTGTGAAAGAATTGAACTGTGCAGTGTGAACTGCCATGGCTGGGGGGTTCTCAGTGCTGAACCCTCATAACCTGTTGGAATTTAAAATCTGGAGGTGCTAATAAAAGAGCAGGGGGATGGCAGGTGCTGTCCAGTTCTGGTCCTGGTTCTTGGATGACAACTCAACTGGAATAATTCAAAGGACACTGAGGCACTGGCTGTCATAGCAAGGTTTGTGTGCAGGGAGAAGATTGAATTCCTACTGCACTGTTTTGGTTTCCCAGATGAAGACAGGACGAGGTTCCTCATTTTCAATCAGGTTTTCACATAGGCAGAATTACAGGTGTATCATTAGTTTTTCCTTGCAGTATAGACAGAACTGCTGAGGTGACATGACAAAATAATAGAAATACAGATGTGACAGAACTAAACTTGGCACGTTTTCCCCTGAGACACTTCTCTGACACCCTGCAAAGTTGCCAAACTCTGTAGAGGTCCTGCCTGGATCAGCAGGAGCTGCACACAGTAAGAGTTTTCTGGGGAGAAGCTGGATGCTTCTTGTCTGTTTTCCAGTAGCCAAACCAGAATGAACCTTTTTTTTATTTAAAGAAGAATAATTAAGGCATGAGTGAGTTGCGTTTTAGCTGTGACACCACTGTGGTTCCCTGGATCACACACTGCCTCTGTTGGGCTGCTCCATAGGAAGCCCAAGGCAAGGACTCGTCCTTGTCAGGAATTGCACAGAATTCTTTAACTGCAGACACTGAGAATATTTGTTTGAAATACATAAAATACAACACTGGCACCTCAGCTGACTAGTGCAGTTGTGTGTTTATCATGTGGATACCTGACACCCTTTTTGCCATAGAGCTGCTCAAACATGGATGGTTTGCAAACCTTTGGTTTTAGGAACCCGTTGGTGGCTCTGTTTGATTTCCTGCTCCCAATGGCATCGTCCTATAAAGGCAGGGTAAGGATGGTGCTTAGATGAGGTACAGAGTGACAGCTTTGCAAAACTCCTTCTTTTCTTCCCTTTTTGGGTTTTTCTTTGTAAGTGGGTTGTCTGGGTGAGTTTCTCCTCCAGCAGCCATCCTGTGGTAGCACATTGTGAAACTGCTGTAAACGCTTTAAACAGTGAGTAAAATCCACTTGGGCTTGTTGAGCTCTAAATGTTTGATGAGGTCTCTCCCTGTGGGTGTGCTGTGGTTTTTGTTTAGTTCTTTGTGTAACTAAAAGAATATGCCAAAACCAACTTGATTCTGATCAAATTAGAACACGTTCTGTGCTTTGGTTTTGGAAGTAAATGTCATACATTTGCATAAATGCAATTTATTCAGGAATTCCTTTGGTTAGTTTACACTCTTTATTCTGCATTTTGGCTGAATTCCAGTGTTAAAAATAGACTCCTCTTAAAAAAAAAACCTGTTTACAAATATGAATCAATTGACAGATGTGGTCTTTTGATAATACTCAGGTGTTTGCATGCTCCAACCAGACAGGGATCTGTAAATACATCGTGTCTTCCGTACTAACACCGTCCTTTCAGGCTCAGCATGGAAAGGGGAACTGCACTGGTGATGCCCTTGGGTTCTCATGTAGCTCATGACTGTAAGCTGCAGGTTGGTTTGGCACAGTTATGACCTGTGGAATACCCCCTGCTGGGTCAGAGCTCCTGCTTTGGGGCTGCATTTTATGGGTGGGGTTTTTTTCCAAACCTCCATCAGCGTTTGAGAGCCCCAAATGTGGGCTGTGCTTTGGTGTCACCTGAGTCAGTGAGCTGCCCTTGCCTTGGGATGCCCCAGGGAGATGCTGCATCCAGAGGGTGCAGCAGGGTGAGAAGGGAGATGTTTTAATACACCTGCCATGTGGAATTATTGAAGGAATTGTCAAGTACATGTTTTCTACCTCTCCACAGTTGTGGTACTTGTGTTAAGTTGTGAAGATCCACCTCCTCCCCATCCACCTCCTCCCCCTGCTCACCCTGATCTGGCACTGTAGGACTCAGGTTGCTCAGTGTTACGTACAAGGATTTTTCCCTGCTATCAGGGAATGAGCACCTAAAGCCGTGTCCGGTTGTTCCCACGTTTTTCTTGTGTTGAAATAAGTTTGGCGTGAAAATAACGAAGGTAAATTGTTCAGTCATGAAAGGCATTGGACAAGTGACTGAAATTTACATCTGTCTCTGTGTCAAACAGATGTTGTTGTTGCTCACCTTCTCCCAGGGACTTCTAGTTAATCTTTGGCTGCTGTCTTTGCATACACTTGGAGTGTTGTCGTTATTGCTGATTAACCGAAATGGTTTTATTACCAAAACAGCCGAGACCTCTTTCCATTGTCACTAAATAATATAAGCACAGAATGCATCCTGCTGGAAAAAGCAAAGAGTTGTTACTGAAGATACTGAAAACTCCACAACCCAACCCAGAAACTGGTCCACTTCACTTCCTTGCTGAGATGCGAGTGCAGTTTTTGGCACAGCTGCTGTTCCTAATTTAGTGCGGGGAGCTGGTTCAGAAATAGGTCGGCTGGGAAATGCGGCCACGGCCCGTGCTGAGGAGCGAGACAGGGAGAAAAGGAAGGTCACTGTGGATTCTTTTCTCTCTTTCCTGCTCCTCGGGTGTGCATTGTAGGGAAGGAGCAGCGCTGCAGTGCCTGCAGCAAGGGACACAGCGAAAATCAAATGCTGCCTTTGTTCTATAAACATCCTCAGATTCGTTTTAAGAAATAAAAGCCAAAACACAGGAGAGTTCATGTTTTCAAGGCTACTCCACAGCTTAGTGTTCCTTCCAATTCTTACATCACTTTTATGTTTAATACATTTTTCCAGAGAAATGAGCGCTTTTTATTTACAGCCTCTCTTGCATTCAGAGCTCACTTCTTACCCCTGTTCCAGCATGCTCTTGTTTCCTTTCTGTGTAAAACCAGACCTACCTAGAAACACTTCAAAAAACCCCAAACCCAACCCAAAACCCAACGTTTTGTGAGGTTTGTTTCTGGGTATAGTGTCGCTGGAAAGTCCTTTTCATCGTGTGGGAGGTGTGTAAATGTCATTGTGGGTTTAGTGTAGTCTGACAGCTTAAAAATGAGGAGTTGGTAAAGTTACTTGAACTGTATTTTTATAGATGCTTTTGTTGAAAGAAAATTAAGTTTCTTGTTTTGCTCAATCTGTTTATTTAGTGAGAAGTTAGAAACAGCTTGTCCTGTTTAATTGGGTTCAGTTCTAAATGCTGGGATCAGGGATGCAGAAAGGAGAATATTTAAAGGTGCATGCATTGTGGTTTACTTTTCAAATTTCTAAACAATTGCACGTTGTTAATTTATTGTTAGTCATTAAATTTGGGCATGTAATCTCTGGCAATATATGAAAATGGGACAGTTTATTGAAATTGGGTCTTAAATTCAGCACTGAAAAAAAGATGTAGTACTACAGCAGCCATAGACTCTGTAAATGAGCAGAATTAGAATTGATGTATATTTAATTTAATAGGTACTTCAAGAGAAAAATCTCTTAGACCAGCCCTATGAAAACGGGTGGACCTCAGATTGGCCAACGTTTATGCTCCTGATTAATTTTGCTATCATGGACCTACTTGTTCATTTGGCATCATAAAATAATGGGCTTTTGTCTTCAAAACAAACCAGCTTTGGGGGCTGGTGCAGGATCAGGGTGAACCTCAAGAAATTTGGAGACAACACACATAAAGTGCCCTTGTTACAAAGAATTGCATTTGCTTGTGCTCCTTCCCAGATGTCAGAGTTGCTGATTTGAGGATCTCTTTCTGGTCACATTGATGTGTCTGTGATCTGTAAATTGGAGATGGTTGGGGGTAATTCCAGAAGATACCGTAGCTTTTAAATTCTAAATGAGTCAGGTGGTACGTGCAAGTTATGCAGAAAGTCTTACATTGTGTAAACAAGTGGCTCATATATTTGTGTGTGTTTTTCTTTTTTTTTATTTTCTTTTCCAGCTGTACTTTCAGGTTTCCCAGCACAAACATCAAGATAACATTCACAGCTCTGTCCAATGAAAAGAGAGAAAAACAGGAGGCCCCGGAGTCCCCAGTGAAGCCCGTGCAACCCCAGATCTCTCCCTTAACAATCAACATTCCAGACAACATGGCTCACCTGATCAGCCCTCTCCCTTCTCCCACGGGAACCATCAGGTATTTAAACCCTGCAGGTGGGATGCAGGGCCCTGGACAGGCTCAGCACAGCTTCCTCAGTCAGCAGTTTGCTGTTGAGCTCAAAGTTTGGTTCAAGATCAGTTTTACCTGCCCTGGAGAAACCACCTTTCTGCTGACCGATAACACAGTTGCATGAACAGTCTGTAATATTCTGATTTAACAGGTTAAATGGGTAACAGTCTGCTCAGGAGCTCAGTATTCTTAGAACAGCAATCCAACAGATCTTTTTCTTGCATTCCAGCTGATTAAGATTGCTTTTTGCTCTTGCATGTTTATGGCAACACTTCAGATAAGTTTACATCACACCATTTTTCAACCTTCTGATTTGTCACTGTTGCCCCAGAGTTTGACACCAGGAAAAGTGGTGGTTTGGGTTATCATTAGTGTGGAAAATGGACTGATCTCCTACTCCAGGAGCTTTGTTATAGATTAGTCACTGCTGGGGGTAAACAGGCATTTTATTTAAAATCCAGAGTGAGGGGCAGGTCTGGATGGGCTCCAGGGTGATCTGGGATTTCCTTGCCCTGCCCCTTCAGTTGGTAACTGTAACCATTGACCGACCTGTTACTTGGGACCAAGCTCACCTAACACAAGCAACCCCTCCTCACAAAGTGGTGAAATCAGTTCAGATAGAATTTTGGAAATTCCTGAGAAGTTCAGGAGCAAAACTTCCCCGTCAGGGCCCTGAAAGTCGTGTCAGAGTCACAGACGTGCCTTCGAGAGCGTTTTTGTCCCCTCTCACTTCCTGTGTCTCCACTGGAGCAAAGGACTGTTCGTGCTTGCTTTTTAAAAATGTACAACTTGCTAATGAAATTTGAATGTAAGGATAATTGAGTTCTCTCATGCTTGCCAAGATCTTGATCTCAATATTGGAGTGTTTAATGACATCTGTACAAATGATGGAAGCAGAGAGGAAAGAGATCTGGGCTTGACTGTGTAACAGGTTTGCTCTCTTAAATAAAAATGCAGGGAAAACACATCTTTCCCAAGGAATGACAGAGCAGGTCATAAGTGTTTCAGGTAACATCCCATCTATCACCACAGCCTTTACCTCACCGTGAATTTTGTGATTCTCCTCAGGGCTTCCATGCACCTGTTGAGTAGTTTATTGCAGATCAAAAAAGATGCCAGTTTTGAGTCTATTTTGAGAGCAAAGCTTGTCAGTTTCTCTGCAAATCGCCCTGTTTTGTAGAAGACTTGTAAACTTGCTTTGATTGTACCATATGTGTGGCTTTGTCAATATATGCTAAAGTGAGCAGAGCAGAGGGATGTTGTCAGCTGATACGTGAAAACACAGAGCAGCACTGACCTATATTGAAAAAAAAGAAATTAGCTACACATTTGGGCTCTAATCAAGGATTCTTCTGCACAACACTTAAAAAAATCCCATCTCCCTTTTATAGTAAGTATATCACCAGTAGCAAATTGTTGGTGGATTTCTTGTGATGTGAAGCTTGAAGGATATTTTTATATAAATATATATTGCCCAGTCTGAACTACCTGACTCTTTCCATAGGTAAAAAGGAGGTAGCAAAAAAAATGTGAGGGGCCAGGCAGACAAACAAACCTTGACAGATGTAAAATCCGTGAAGCTTTAGTGTATAAATCTAAACAACATTGTCTGGGTTTATTTATTGTTGCATTTTGAACCACAGATTCAAGTTAGGTTAAAGGTTGGCTGTAGAGGTAAGGCTGGTACTGGGGGCGCTGCGGACTCTGCCATTGGGATTTGTGGTTTTTTTGGAATTCCTGAGGGCTGCATTGAACTCAGTTTGCAGTAGGAACTGCAGAGTGTGTGTCCTTGTAGAGAGCTGCCAGAATTATTTTGGGGGACAGGCATCACCCACTGACTGTGTCTTTCCTCTTGGCTAAATGGAAATTGCAGAGGCAAACCCAGCTTTGTGCAGCTGCAGTTCCTGTGCAGGGCAGGGGGCACTGATGGAAAGATGTCATGGTGCAATCACACACAGTTTGCTCTCTGCTTCTCTGTGATGGGTGGCAGAATGGGAGGTATTAAGAGATATTCCTGTGTTTGGCACCATCTCTTGCTTTCTCACAGTGTATCTGCTCTGTTGGCCTAATGCTGCACTAAATTAGCTGAGTCAGTGCTGATGCATCCCATTTACAGATCAGAGTATGTTTTTTGTACACATATGTCTGTGTCAGTACATGCACATGCCTGTAAACACTTAAAGCACTATTGATTGGGATTTAAATAAGAACCAAACCTATTTTTTTCCTCACTGCTTGCTGTGTTTTCTGAGATGTACACAAACACTGCCCAGGAGAGGTGATTTTCTTTTTTCCTGTGAGCAGACTGAACACAAGCACGTGGCAGAAATTCCACGCGAGATGTGTGTCTTGTTTCCAGTTACTGTCTCAAAACAGGTGCTTGCTGATGTAGCTAAAGTGGACTTTAGTGTTGGCAAATCTCACACAAAGGGAGTACAGCCTAATAAATGAGTTGATCCCTGTTCTTTGAGGAGGGAGGCCTGAGCTGCACCTGGCAGGATTCTGATTCCCGAGGCTGACTTAGCCAGGCTGGGAAGGCGTGGGGGTTGCGCTGGAAGCCCTGACAGCCTCGCAGCTCTGCGAGTGGCTTTGCTGCAGCAAAGAGCTTTTTGATGAGACACAGTGTGGTGATAAACTGTATAACAAAATAGTAGGATCTTCTCTTTATGCTCTACAGTGCTGCAAACTCCTGCCCATCGAGCCCCCGCGGCGCTGGCTCGTCAGGCTACAAGATGAGTCGTGGGATCCCATCTGACCTACATTTGATGGCCGACAATTCCCAGTCGGAAAACGACAAGGAGGCATCGGGGGGAGATAGCCCAAAGGTAAACACAGCTTGGAATCAATCCCAGAAATGGCACCTGAAGGGAATGTAAGATTTTGAATGTAAGATTTTGGGGTATTCTGTTGGCTAAAACGCGTGCGCTGAGTCATAACTTAAGAGCACAGACTTTAAAAACAACATGTAGGGTTTGTGATCAGAAGCGAGATAGATTGATTCATTGATTGGTTTGCCCCTCTCCCCTTTGGGGGAGGGTCTGTGCAGTCTCAGATACAGATCTGTTCACAGGCTGTTGAAAATCCTTTGCAGTTACATGAGTCTCCAAAATTTAGGTTATCTTAAAACTGCTAATCAGAAGAACAAAATTATCTTACTTTCTTTTCTAACTTGAGATTTTGGCTATTTTTAAAGTGCCTTAAGTCAAGTTAATTATGCTCTGTGACTTTTGCTGTAGAGAGGAGTGTGTATATCTCTGTGAAGTTTATTAATGCAGCCTTCCTTGTTGCCATGCAGGATGACTCTAAGCCACCCTACTCCTATGCACAGTTAATAGTCCAAGCAATTACAATGGCCCCGGATAAGCAGCTCACACTAAATGGAATTTATACGCACATAACTAAAAATTATCCCTACTACAGGACAGCAGACAAGGGCTGGCAGGTAAGCTGGATTTCTGCAATACTTGTTTTTAGTTGGGAGCAATGCTGGCAGCTGTAAATGGTCTTGAGCAGTTGGTGCCTCAGAGCCCTTCAGAAACAGAGTTTGTCAGATGACTGTGTTGTCTTTCTCCTGACTGTAAGTCCTCCAACAAAGTGAGCAATTTACATTAGTTTCTATTTGAAACATTGCTTTATTCGTGGAATGGTGTTCTCTAAACCTCTAGTACAGACAGACTTTGGGGGAAGGAAAGTACATTTGGCACTGGATTTGAATACCATCTGCTATCTAGGAATGGTGGTGTGTTCTGTAGCTTACAGTTGTGTAAACATCCGTATTGCTATCTTGAGATAAAACTGAGATATTAAATGTTACAAGTTCAGTTTTATTTGGGAACAGTGATCTTGGCCGTGCAGTAAGTGAAGGAACAAGTGTGTTACCTGTTGGTATCTCGCCCTGGTTCGTGCCCTGTTCTGTTTTTGAACTTGCCCATTTCTGTACCGAGTTCCACCAAACCCTTCCACTCTGCAGAATTAATCTCTGCTTGCTTTTCATTTTTAAAAGAGCAGCCCCAGCGTTTGCCAGGATGACTAACCGAGTACAAATCAGTCTGGCAGGGTCTGCCCACACACACATGAAGGTTCAGTGCCTTTGGTGCTGTGTTGGGGGTCTCAGAGGCCCAGGAGCCCAGTTCTGCCCCTGTAAGGCCCTGGGCACACTGTCCATTGGGGGGGATCACTGTCCCTGTTGCTGCTCCCTCTGCAGCAGGGACGTGTCTGGAGTTATTTTCAGGGAGATGAAAAGTGGAGAAGGTGTGGGAGGGGAAAAGTCAGGAAGTGCTAACACTGGCTGTACAAGTGAAAGACTGAAGAAATACAGCAGAGGAAGAGATTTTAAAATATTAATCACATAGTTATTTGTCATGAGGCCTACATGAAAGCTGGCTCCCTTTCCCAAGGTTAGCAGGATTGGAGCTGTTCCTTTGCTAAGGGTTTGGCTGGTGCAGGACTTGGCTGCTGTTGTGGCTGGGAAGTCTCTTTTGTTTCCCTTTCCCACATAACAGTGCAGTATCCTGGCTGCAGACATGCTGACAGATCTGTTTTAGCAACGAGCCTCTTGTTTATGAAATGCTGGTGTGTGTTTCCCTTCCAATTGTGCAGCACCTTGAGTGTCTGTGTGTGTGATGCTTTACCTGAGCATCATGAACCCAACACACACACCCCAGTGCTGTGCTCAGGTGAGGTGCTCTGCTGTGGAACAGGGTGGGTGTTTGGGGGTGGAATGCTCCAGAAAGCCAAGGTGATAGACCCAGCAGACATGGGGTGTTCTGGAGTAATTAATTAGCACCTATTCATAGAAATAATTGGAAAAGCTGAAAATCAGGTGCTGTTCACTCACTGCTCTGCCAGCTCCTATCCATCAGGAGATGGGTTACAGCTAGGGTGATGTAGGATAGATGTTGGAAATCAGATTTGAGGCTACATATGCCCATATTATTCAAAACATAGACTACACACACATGTATAGTGTCCCAGTCCTGTACCTTAATAAATAGCATTGAGATATTTATATCCTTTATTATTCAAAGGTCTCATTTTGTTGAGCACTTGAAGACTCTCTGTGAACTTATTTTAGCAGGTATTTTTGGATCCACTCTTTTATTCTAACATATGGAGAAATAAATACAATTTATAAACATGCTCTTGGCATCTTGCTAGTTATGTTTCGATTTTTGGCAGGGAAAACCATCTCTGGTTTCATCAGTTTGCACTTAAGAAACCATACATGGTTATCATTGCTTTGGGTTCTCCAAACTTGCCATCAGGGTCATGAACCCAGATATTTGAGCAAGATTTACATTTGATTTTGTAAAGTTTTGAGGGCTTTTGTTCACATAAAGCTTTTTGTCCACTTACCCCTGTTACCCCAGGAACACTTAGCACCAGTTTCTTCTTGTTCAGTGATAATGCTGAGAGAGATTTTGGGGGTTACGTATCTTAAAAATAAAAAAAATTAAAATTCAGAAGGTTCTGTGTGCAAAGCCAAGCACAGACAGAGCCACTTGAGGGTGTCAGCAGTTCTGTGCATCACTTTGATGCAGAGTGGGGGGTGTGCTGCTGCAAAGGGAGGATACAGGAATGTGCAGAGAGATCCTGGTAACCAGGATCTCATGGAAAACCCGGTTCAGGACCTGCTGCCACTTGGTGTTTTTCTAGACACACCAAATCCTTGGCTCCTTTACTGAGACAGACTGGAGTGGGGGTGAACTCCCAGCAATCCAATCCAGCTGCCTTTGGAACTTGTGTCATGTAACCTTTCCTTTCTGAACCGTGGAACAGTGACAGGGTTGGGATCTAGGATCAAAATCAGTATATGCTGTGTTCTGCTGGCTCTCCTAGCAGGAGCTGGCACTCTGTGTGACACCTGGGGAGGGGTTGTGTATGAACACTGATAATTTTTCTTTCTTTTTCTCTTTAACACAAGTATTTGTGGTGTCCTAACAGTTGGTTGCAATCGCCGTGTTTCTCATGAGAGATTTAAATGGGATTCCTGTTATTTCCAATTTAGAATACTGGGGTTTTTAATTGTTGGGAAAGGTTTGACAAATGCAAGAGTTCCTGTCAGGTTTCTGGCCCTGCCTTGGCAGTGCTCTGAGTTCTGTTGAATGAAGGAATTAAAGAGCTGAACCCCGAGTCTCCTGTAGTACAAACTGCTGCACTAGGCCACATTCTGACTTGGAAAAGTTATATGAATTCTACATATTTTTTTATGTTCCATAGAATTCAATACGTCACAATCTCTCTCTGAATCGTTATTTCATCAAAGTACCACGTTCCCAGGAAGAACCAGGCAAAGGCTCATTCTGGAGGATAGACCCTGCCTCTGAAAGCAAATTAATAGAGCAGGCTTTTAGGAAAAGGCGGCCTAGGGGAGTACCTTGCTTTAGAACCCCTCTGGGACCACTCTCTTCTAGGTAAGGAAAACCAGATGAACAAAAAGACTATGGCTGTTGTTTAATCTTCAGGCTGATACAGACTTGGATACAGTCACGAGTTTAGTAATTTAATTTCATCCAGACTCAGTTGTTTGAATTCTGTGTGACTCGTTAGGAGGCTGCCCCATTCACCAGGCTTGTGTTTACTGCTTGTTTTCAGTGTTAAAAGAACTCTGTTTGCATAACTAACTATCAGACTGTTAATGTAAGCAAGCCTTGCTGTACCTTTGGTGGGTTTGACCGAATTATAACTTTAATTCCTAACTGCCATCTGCTGGATTTTTAAAACTGTTTGCATAGAAAATTCTCAGATACCTGCTCCCATTCTGTTAACCTTAGAGATGCCAATTGTGTATTCAGTTTGATAATGCTCGAGCAGCATTCGTGATGGGGAAACCACCTGGGTTTAAATTATTCCCTCTGTAAAGTTATGGCCTTTCTGCTGGTGCAGATCTGTTACTGCTTGCCCCGTAGCCTGAGATTTGCTCATCGTTCTTCTCCACCAGAAGAAACGTTCATGTCTCACAGATTGCTTAGAGTCTCCCTAAGAAGGCATCCAGCCACTTCTTCTCTGTTAACTGTACCTGGAGTTTGCTTTGAAATCCTGTCCCTGTTTAACAGAAGCTTTCTAAAAGATCCTGGGATCTGGGTTGTAACTCGAGGTGCCCTCCCCTCCCGTGGGGCCGCGTGTTACGGGCTCCTTAGAGGAAGGTTAAAACACATCAGCTGCTGCTTTCATTTCTAACTACAGAAGTGCCCCAGCTTCTCCTAATCACTCTGGAGTGTTGTCTGCACACTCCAGTGGCGTCCAGACCCCCGAGAGCCTGTCCAGGGAGGGGTCTCCCGTCCCGATGGAACCTGAGCCCAGCACTATCCAGCCCAAACTCGCCGTCATCCAAGAAGCGCGATTTGCACAGAGTGCCCCAGGTGAGCAGCCCTGGGCTGGGCTGGGCTGGGGCAGGGAGGGGGCTCGTGCAGAAATAGTGCCAAGACTTCACCAAAAAGGGGATATATTCAGTCTCTTAACATTCAGAGCAAATCTGTGAGAGACTCAGAAACAGGGAGATTGTGTTTGCAGAGTCAGGCTGTTTCCTGGGGGCTGCCAAGGAGAGGCTGTGCCTCTGTCCTGTGTAGGACTGTGCTGTCTTGTAACAGTTGACACTGGCTTTCAAAGTGTATTCTCTCTAGTTAAGAAAGAAAATAAAAGAAATAGAAGGTTAAATGTGTTGCAGAAATGAGGAAATGCCTTTCACAGCTCTGTGATCATCTCATCCTTTCAAAGTGGGGGATAAAAGAATTGGAAAGGTAAAGAGAGAGAAGAAATTTCTTGTTTAAAACAAAAAGAGCATAAGGCATGATGGGATAAGGATGTGTTTGTTTCATTACTTTAGTTTGTATATGTTTGCCATCCATTTTCTTGGTGATGATGTGGCACTACAAAGTGCCAGGGATCACTGAGTGGTGAGGGCAAGCATGGACCTGAACAGAGACACTGAGATCTCCCAGCCTAAGGATGTGGAGAGTGTTGCTGATGCTCCACACAACACCTGAAGCACATACATGTTCCCACCTGTGGAGAGGGGGTTTTCTTTGTCAGTGTAGCTGCACTGGGGGAGGGCTGGGGGTGCTCCAATGGAGTGTGGGTTTTACTGAGCCAGTACAGCCCTCACCCTGAGTCAGTGGCTGGGAATAACCACGTGTCATAATGTTCATTGTCCAGTGTTACCTTTTGGATCATTAGTGAAGGAGGTAGTTAAACCTCTGAGGCTTTAGTGTTCAGTTTAAAAGAATGACTGGCCTAAAAGGAATGATTAAAATTGGCAGCCTAATTTGGACCTCTCTCTTGCAGGATCACCTCTCTCTAGCCAACCAGTTTTAATTACTGTACAACGGCAGCTACCACAAACTATTAAACCCGTCACCTACACTGTTGCAACTCCTGTGACAACATCAACATCCCAGCAGCCTGTAGTTCAGACAGTTCATGTTGTCCACCAGATCCCAGCTGTGTCAGTCACCAACGTGACTGGATTAGCACCAGCAAACACTTACACTGTCGCGGGCCAGGCCGTCGTCACGCAAGCGGCGATGGTCACCCAGCCCAAGGTAGAACCTCAAGAGAATGGAGACCACAAGGAAGTCAAAGGTGAGAACCTGGGGGGTTGTTTTGGGACCTCTTTATGCAGAGGGATCAGTATTTATATATATAAAATTGCAGAACCATAGAATGGTTTGGGTTGGAAGGGACCTTAAAGGTCATCTCGTTCCAACCCCGTGCCATGGGCAGGAATGCAGCCCATGAGACCAGGTTACTCCAAGCCCCATCCAGCCTGGCCTTCAACACTTCCAGGGATGGGGCATCAGTATTTCCAGATGAAACGTTTGGCTAAAACTGAAGATTTTGCATCATCATTTCTCAGAATGAAGCAAGTAACGAAATGAGAGATACACTTTCCCACTGAGGGTTGACTGAGTGAAACCCAGTGGTTCTTTACCACTTCCTTGTTTTTAACCGTGTTTTATCCCTGTTTTGCAGTGAAAGTGGAGCCTCTCCCTGCTATTAGCCATGCTGCAATAGGAGCTGCTAGTCGGATCATCCAGACATCTCAGCCTGCCCCCCTCCAGACGGTCACCATCGTGCAACAGGCGCCCCTGGGGCAGCACCAGCTGCCCATAAAAACTGTAACGCAGAACGGGACGCACATCGTGCCCATCACCACGGCCCTGCCGGGGCAGGGCACTGCTGGTACGTATGGAGGGCTGGGCTTTGGCCTTGGACACCTCCCAGCACCACTGCTGCCTCCTCAGCCGTGTCCTTGTGTCCTTCCTGGCTAGACTGAGGAGTGAGTCCCACGGGAGCTGGAGCTCCCAGCCCTGCGAGGGGCTGTTCCTCCCCTGCTGGTGAGAAGGGGTTTCTCCTCACTGAGCCTCACCTGAACATCGTCTTGCTCTTTCTGTGGTCGTTATGGGGATGTTCTAAGTGGTGACAGCCCGTCCTCCCTCCTAATTAAGCCTGGATAGGACACCTTCTGTATCCCAGGCTGCTCCAAGCCCCGTCCAACCTGGCCTGGGACACTTCCAGGGATGGGGCAGCCACAGCTCTTCTGGGCAACCTGTGCCAGGGCCTGCCCACCCTCCCAGGGAAGGATTCCTTCCCAACATCTAATCTAACCCTGCTCTCTGTCAGTGTGAGGCCATGCCCCCTTGTCCTGTCACTACCTGCTCCTGTAAATAGTTTCTCTCATCCCCAGGCCTGGGGCACCAAGGTCCTGATCCCTTTTCCTGTGTAGCTTCAGTGACTTCAGTGCTGTCATTACTGATTTACCCAGATAGAAACAAGTTTTAAAAGAAGGTCCTGTAAAACAAAGCCATCCAAGTGGTATCTGATCCCAGCTGGTTTATTGGGAACCCAACAACAGGAAAACCAGAACTTGCTTGTTGGCTTTTTGAACTGTTACTTTTATTCTGATTTTATTGAACCTGTGCTAAACCCGACCAAAATTCTGTAAGATTTTGAGATGATTGTTATCTGAATCCCCTTGTTCCCCTCTGGAACTGGGCAGGCTGTGCTCTCTCATCATTCCATGCATTCACACTTGCTTTGCTCTGCAGGTGCACACAACTGGTTCTTACAGTTTCACTTTGAACGTTACCTGGTACTGAAGGAGGTTTTCTGTCATGAAATACGTTTACAGAAATATTTTAGGGCTATCTTATATTAGTTTATTACCTGCATTTCTGCTCCACAGTCTTTCTAGTGGAGTGAAATATCTGCTTAGGTTTTTTTTTACTCCTCTGACATTTATAGGTCAGAGTTCTGGCTGCTGCCACTTCACTTGCAGCTTAAGAGCAGCAAAGGCAATCACAGTCAGACCTGAGGTGCACTTTCTGTGTCAGAAGGGATGTGTGAATTGAGCTGAGAGCCATGTGAAATACATTGAAAAGTTATTTTTAAATGTAAGAAATAAGTCCTTTTGTCTCTTTCCTGGATTCTTAAAACTCAGCTGATCTCAACGTGTTCCCTGACAGGGCAGCTGCTGGGTGTGTGTAGGGAATGTGGCTGCACGTAGGAGTAGAGTTGTGGTGCTTCCCACTGTGTCACTGTGTGTGACAGGGTGGGAGATTCCTGGGCTTTAAATACCTCCTGAGGTGTTCACACTGGGAACAGCAAGTGAGGAGTTCCTGTTCCAGTTACTCCTGAACCAGCAAGAAACCAGGTAATTCTCAGGCAAAGCATCGAAAGGGGGAACTGGGCCCACAGAAACACAGGTTTGTTTGTGTGTGTGTGTTAGCATGGCCACACCTGTACTTACACACACATTTCTGTGTGTTTGTCTTGGGAGAAAGAAGAGTTGTGGCATCTGAAAGCAAAGAAATCCAGAGCGACTCCTGTTCCCGTTCCATTTTCCCTGTGCAGTCAGCAGGTGCTGTGAGATCTGCTCTCACTTGGCAGCACTGCCTGGGCCCTCTGAGTCAGCTGAATCCTCTGAGGTCCAAAAGAAACTCAGGTTTCTTAACTGCACAGTAAAACTGTGACTGCATATTCTGTGTTTCAGCTTTCAGTGTAGAGTTCAGACATCATCTTTCTTCTGTGTGTTTCCTACTCCCACGTGTCAGCTGTGCCTGCAGCCAGTGGGTCTCTTGCTACTCACCAGACCCTGGAGTGAGGAATCACAGAATCACAGGATGGTTTGGGTTGGGAGGGACCTTAAATCTCATCTCATCCCACCCCCCTGCTGTGGGTGAATCAAACAGAATAATGCAGTGACAGTCTTCATGTGTGTTTGAAGGTGAGGGGTGAACTTGTTGATTTTATGTAAGCACCAGTAAATTCACAGGAAGGCATTTTATTCAGGAGTTACATCTCCATGGCCCCTATTCAGAAATGGTACAAGGAGTAGCTTTTCTAAGGGGAGCTGAATGACTGCTGAGGTACAAGAGCAAATTGATTTACAGCTTGGGACATGCAGAGGTTGATATTCCAGGTACTCTCTAGGATGGCTTGCTATGAACTAATTACAGTTTTAGCCCATAATAATTTCTCATGGACTGGATGTTTCAGCTCCACTAGCAGGGAACACTGTGATAATGTCAGTGAAGTGCTGAGAGGGGGAGCAGGAAAAACACAGGTGGTTTGATAATGCCCAGATAAAGTTTTGTGAATGCAATGAATGAGTACATCTGTAATTAGTATTTTGCATTCTTTGCAAAGACACTGACTGGCTGATTTAATAATATTAATAATATTGAGGAAGAGGCCGATCAGGGGCAGACGGAGGAACCTCTGAGGATCTCAAGGGTTAAAGGCCTGGACCTGCCCATTAGTGGTGCCCTGTGCTGTCTCTCCAGCATGGAGGGAGATGAAAATCTACTAGAGGATATTTGAGCTGTATTTTTCTGTCAATCTAATGCAATTGTGGATCTGAATCTAATCACGTCTCCAGGTACCACTGGTGCTTGTTCCAGCCCTGCCCTTACCCTGTGGGCAAATGCCTTGTTACCCTGCCAGGGAATTTTGCTGCTTGTGTCTTGTGCATCTCTTGGCTCTGAATTCCAGAGATTTCCTGCAGTATCAGGATCAGTATCCAGCCCCAGCTGGATCTGGCATGGTGCTGTTCTCCTTCCAGGCCACCTCACACATCTGCAGTGATCAGAGACGTGGCCAGACCCTTCCAAGGGGTTTGTGAATCCACTTCCCAGTTCTGTCAAAGTTATGGTGTTGATTTGCTTCCAGTCATTGAGTCTTTCCCTGCCTTCAGTTCTCCAGTGACTTAAATGAAGCTGCTTTCCCACCTGTGCCCAAATCAGTGTGAACATTGACCGAGTGGGGAAAACGTCCTTCAGGTTGTGCAGATTAAACAAATCACCCCCCCCCCCAAAAAAAAAAAATCTCACCTGGGCTCCACGTGGAGCCAGTAAAGGAATTGACCATTTAATGACAGTGCAGGGGTGCTGAGGTTTTTCTTCCCTCTTTTCCAGCTGCTGCAAGTCCTTTGCATATGTTGGCCACCCACGCGTCGGCATCGGCGTCGCTGCCCACCAAGCGGCAGAACGGAGATCAATCGGAACAGCAGGAACTCAAACGGATCAAAACAGAGGATGGAGAGAGCATAGTCATAGCTGTGAACGTGGACACCCCACCCGTGGCAGTGAGTGACAAAGGCAGTCAGAACTAGAAACTTAGGGGGAGTTTTTCTTTTCTTCTTTTTTTTTTTTTCCCCTTTTTTTTTTTTTTAAGAAAAAAAAAAAAAAAACCACACAAAAACAAAACAGACACAAAACTCCGTGGTGCCAAAAGGAGACACTTAAAAATCTTAACACCTAAAACGTTGGAACATGTTCTCACGCAGTGGGGAAAGGGGCCCTGTGATCAGAACTTCAACTTTCAGCACTGAAACAAAAACCCAACACAGGTGGCCTTAAAACCTTGGTAATTTAAAAGTCCAAACTGCAGAACCCGTGTTGTTGTAGAGGCTGTTCCCCCTCTGCTCCTGCCCCGCCGGACTCTGTGTGTGCTGGGGGGGGGCTGCAGCTTTACCAGGACCTGTCAGATGATTTCCAGGACTGAGGAGCTCAGTGTAACGGCAGCATGATAGCGCTTAGTGTGACTGGTTTGACGATTGTAAATTCCTAAAGGGAACAGAGGCAGGAGCCATTCCGACACCGTGGCAGCTACGCCTTTCCGAACCACCCACCCATGCAGTTGTTGGTAGATAATGCAGTATTTCGTTGTTCACATGTGGAATTAGAAATTTTGGAGGTGTATTTTTCATTTCTTTGCAGAACAATGGGGTCTTTGACATTTCAAATCACTCCATTTCTACTCCGGAAACTTTGGAATCACGCAAAATACTTTTCATGTGAAATTTTGTTCGGTAAAAAACTGAATGTAGGGTTTTTTTAACCGACGGAATGATTTTACTTTTGTCTGTCCTGTTCAAGTTCAGATAAAGCTACTTTATTACATCTGCAAATTTTCATATTTTAGCAGTTGCCTGATAAATTTAATCAAATTTTATTACCATGTGTAGTGATCAAACGCTTCTTTGGGCTTGCATGTAACTGATTAGAAACTCTGATGTAAATGAGCCGTTAACTGACGTAAAGAACTGCTATGGATTTGACCAGAGCTGCACTTACCTGTTTCTCTCTCTGCTACCTTTTGCTGTTTGTTACTTTGTGTTGACTTTGACTGTCCCTGGCATATTTTTCCAGTCTAAAGTAAAACAAGAGTCTCGCTTAATATTGTGTATGTTTAAGATAACAGACTGTTCTTCATTTAGAAAGAGGAAATTCTTTATCACGAGTCCTTTTAAAAAGAGTAAAATTATCTTGTCAGAGGTATATTCGATATTTTTAAGCTTAAGCACCCTTGAGTAGAAATTAATCTGCCCCATTTCTCCGTAACACTTCGATGTCAGACACTGACCTGCGGGGTCTCCATGACCAGTAGCTGTTGTGGTTTTCTAACAGTGGCTACCAGATTATGGTAATAATTATTATAATTATTTTTTTTTTTTTTTAAAGTGTGTGTTCTGCAGTTGAACATTTTAAAATGTATCGGTAATTTCTCACTTTAATGTGGTAATAGATTCCACTTTTGCATTTCAAAAATCAATTGAAACGAGGCTGCTGTTCAGTCTTCAACTCACACGACGTCTTAGTTCCTCCTGCAGCCAGGTGAGTGGAAGCGTTGGCTTCGTGGGAATCTGGTTTTTGTCCTGTTCTGTAATAAAGATGCATTATTTATATTTCCTTTCCCGCCGTGGAAGGAAAAAAACTGTATTTTCACGATGGACTGAACAGTTTGGAGTGGTTATTTTAGGCAGCTTTTGGAAACTATTTACCTAAAGACCAAATATGAGAAATCTGTACAAGTTTTGTGTTCATCCACACAATGGAACTGTTACAATGTCTCTGCAGATAATACATATTAAAAAAACTATGAAAAAAAAACTCTACACAAGCTGGATTTATAACAGGCATTTAAAAAAAAAAGAAAGCATAACCTGAAAAGAAGCATTTCTGTACAATTGCAACGTTTTCTTTAGAGGTTTTAAAAATAAAAAAAAAAAGTAAAGTTTTAACATACTTTTTTTAAGAAAAAAAAATCCAGTACTAGTAATTTAATTTGGTGTTGAATGAATTGACTAGAATGTGGTTTATTTTCAGAAGTGAGAATCTGTTCACAACTAGGGCTAGGTGAATAATAGTGTATAAGATTTTTTAAATAAAATTAAATTTTATTCAGCAAATTAACTAAGTTGAAATTACTCAACAAGTGTGTTTGAAATACTGATGTATATTTTGGGGTGACTGATGCAGTTTCTGCTGGCAGTGCCACAGGACAGTGTCAGACCCAGCAAGCCAAGGTGTCCCTTCCTGACGCTGTCCCAGGAGCCAAGGGCATGGATGGCTCTGGGACTGGCCCTGCCAGGGGTTCCCACGTTGGTGCACGTGGAATTGTTACATTCCCTTTGTTTCTCATCAGAGCTGGGGAAATGCTTTGACCAACAACCAGGACAGCTCTGCTGGTCAGGTTTTCATGTCAGTGCTTCCAGGAGTTGGGGAGAAGCCAACGGAGGGCTGTGGAACTGCTGGGAAGGGCTGGGGCATTCAGGGCACAAAGAGCAGAACCTGCCCCTCTAACACAACGGCCTGAGGGGGCTGTGGTGGGAAATTCCCCTGATCTCCTGCTGACCAGACCAGAGTCACTGCCTTGTTCAAACAAACACAGTCTGGGGAAGGAGAAACAAATAAAATGCTTAATCTGGAGGCAGTGAAATGGTGCAATTGTTACTGTGCCACGAGGCAGGGGAGCTGTGGGGAGCCAGCCCGGCATTCCGAGGTGTGGGATGGCCCTGTCTGCAGGAACTGCTCGTGTCTCACGTTTGCCAACTGTACTGGTTGATCTTGTATTTGTCACTTCAGTGTGGATACCCAAAGGTTCTGAGAGAAATCTTCGTGTTCCGTGCTTTGTGCTGGCAAACACCTGGAATCGCCACAGAATTCATTGCAGTGGCTCATTGTTTGGTTCTCCTGTCAGGATTTTGAACTGTGACACAGGTGCTGCAGGAGGAGACAGCAAAACGGGGAGAGAAGGAAAAGAAATGGATAATCCGTGTACTTAGACAGCAGATGCTGGTGGGAATACTTTATGTTTCAGGAACAGTCGTGTTTTAGACTTACTGTGCAAATCCTGCCATGTCCTCGTGGCTGGGGGTGATCCCGACCTGCAGCACCGTGGCCGTGTGTGCCATCAGTCAATCAATCCATCAGTCAGTGGGCTGTAATCCTGAGAGTATTGTTTATTTTCTAGAAAAATGACTGACTAAACACTGTTCATTTGATTGTAGAGCTGTGCAAATGCTGGGTAAATTCACCCACGGAACGCGGGGCAGCAGCGACCGATGGGATGAAGTCCTGGCAGAGCAACCTGGAGCCAAAGCCAGGTGGGAAGACTCATTCCTTTGCAGATTTGGATCCCTGCAGGACAGGCTGTGTGCTGAACCGTACAGATTTGCAGGCAGTACCAGAAAGGAGGAGTTGGAGGTCAGGTCCATTTGGTATTAGGGGATTCCCCGGTCAGTGCAGCACTGCTGGCTGCCCACACAGGTGTGTTGTTCTCATCCTGCTGCCACACTGGAGCAGATGTTTAGAGGAAGTGTTATAAGTTCAGCAGAGTTTAAATCTCCCACCAAACAGCTCCTAGTCTCCTGTCAGCTCCAGGATAACTGGGATGGGAGGGCAGGGGGATGGTGCTCCAGAGGGGAGGATGTGCAGAGCAGAGCAGGATGGTGGAGTTCAGGAGACTCCTTGCTCTTCAAAGCGAGTCCCACTGGTGGGATCCTGAGCAGCTCCTGCCTGCTCTGGTGAGAGGGGATTTCCATCATGCTTGGACAGTGGTCTCCAGCCCTTCTCACACATCCTTCTCTGGGAAGATGACAGTTCCACTTAGTCCTGCTGATAGGGCTGTTACAAGGCGAGGAGCCTCAGCCCAGGAGCTGTGGTGAGTGGTAAGTGCTGAGCAGGAACTGGTTTGGACTTATTTTGGGATAAACACCAAGGTCTGTGCCCCAGGCAGTGGCTCAGGTGTTCCTGTCCCCTCTTCACACAGCAGGTTCAGCTCCTGTCCTTCACCAGCCACCACTCCTGACTCGTGTAGGTGTTTATTCCCCAAACCTGGAGCAATGGAAGCTTGGGCTGTGACCATCAGTGAATACAGCAAAGTTAGTCACTTTTATTTAAAAGAAATAACATATTACAAATAAGTGTGCAAAACAATTCCTGTGGTTAAATACACATAAAAGCAACATGCAACCTTGACATCAACATGGTAAGTTAGTCCTTAGTAGGTTACGTGACACTAAAAGGGACTTGTCAGAGTTTGCAGCTAAACAAGGTGGGAGTGAACTGGTGTGTCAGGGCTGAAGCATCTGTGAAATTAAAGAGTCCAGAAGAGCAGGACCTCCCTGCCCCAGGGTTTAGTGCCACAGAGGCCAAGCTGGGAGCTAATCTTGGGTTCTGGGTTAAGAGCTTGTGCCTTAGGTCAGCAGGAAATGGGGTAACAGTTGTTGGGGAAGAGAGCACAGCTGAGTGGGTTCAGTCTAACCTACCTGTCCTGGGCCAGCAGCTTTAGGATGCGACAGCTCAAAGAAAAAACAAGACAAGTTTGGAAGTTTAAAGCCGTTGCTGATGTGGATTCCTGCCAGCTCCTTCAGTCTTGTGCTGGACGGGGACAGGGCCTGTCCCAGCCCCAGGGTCTGGCAGCAGTTTGGCAGCACAGCTGGCACAGCAGTACCCAGGGGGATTTACAGCTGGAGCAGCTGCCTGGGGACAGGAGGAATCACCTCTACAGCTACAGGGCCCTGGGTGTTTGCTGTGCACACCCAGAGGGGTCGGCTCAGCCCCTGCCTAGAGGTGCCTCCCCTGCTCTGGTGTTTGGCACCTTGTGCAGTTCATGCTGATCCCTCCCCTGCACAGGCAGGGCCCCCCCTGCCCCCACCCAGCCCCCTGCACAGGCAGGGGACAAGCAGAGCTCGAGCTGCTGGTGTCCCCTGGCCCCTCTGCTCCTGGCCAGGCTGGCACAGGGAGCATCACCCAGAGCCTTTCCCCCTGCCAGCCGTGCAGTGGAAGAAAAGCAACGCTGAACTCTTCTGGTTTCACATCCCTTCTCCCCAGCCCTGCAGAGCTGCCCTGGGGGCAGGCACGGTGCTGGAGCCAAGTCATGTCACAGTTTGGAGTGAGAGAAACCCAGTAGGCACAAGCTTGTTGAAAGCCACATCTTGAAAACTTGAGTTGGTGACAGTAACCCAAAGAGATTTTAATGATGAATACTTGCAGAAATGAGAACAAACATATGCAGTCCACTACTTCAGAGCTGCTTGTGATCACGTTGGGCCAGGCTTCTCTGTGAGCTCTGCTGAACTTCTGGATCGGTACTGGACGTTCAGAACTGTCCCTCAGGTGTGGAGTGGCCGAGGCAGGGCTGGGACTCGTGCACTCCCCTCCACCCAGTCAAAGCTTCTCGTCTGTCATTTCTAGGAACTGAGCGTACACATCCCTTGAGCATTCCCCTTTTTGGTTGAATAAGAACTTGTAGTAGCTGCCATCTGCACATATCGCTGCAACACAAAGGAGCAGAGTCAGCTGGGCTGTGCCTTCCTGCTCTTCAGCCACAGCACAACCCTCCCTTCAGGCTCACAGAGCACCCAGAGCTGCTGGGGAGGGACCCGAGGGCCCCCAGCCCTGGGCAGCACAGGCTGTGCCAGCCTTGTGCCCCCTCCCTGGGCAGGGACACAGCCCTGTCCCAGCAGAGGGTTCCCTCCAGCTCCAAAACCCTGGCTCTCCATCACAACCTGGGCACTCCTCCATCACTCACCTATGACAGCGTTTGGCTCTGTTCCAAAGGCACAAATGCACGGAGAGCCTGAGGGAACCTGGAATTTGGAAAAACTCCATTTGGAACTGAAGTATTTGGGGAGAAAGGTGGCAGAGGCCAAACTGAAAGAGAGAAAACAAAAGCATAACAGCTTAGTAAGGTGTTGAGTAGAGTGGATTCAGAACTGCTGGAGTGACTGAACAAGATAAAGGGCTCACACTGTTTCTGACTGGCTTTTTATGATCTTTACTAAAGTATCAGGTAACCTGGACAACTCCCCTTCTTGGCAAGGGGGAGCCTACAACTACCTTTATAAGTGATTGGAAAAACTGCCAAGGGATTGATTTTGAGTAGAGGATGTGTCCATGAGGTATTTTCATGCTGAGATCCCCTAAAACCCACCCTGACCCTCTGCTGGAATGCTACAGCCCCACAAGGGACAGCAGGAACTTGGCACTTTAACCACCCAGTTCTAAATCTGCAGCTTCACTCCAGCCCAGCAGATCGATCCTGCTGCCTCCAGCAGTGCAGGGATTTGCTACTGAGTGACACAGCCAGTGTTTTAAATGCCATTAAAAAGCTCAAGGCCCCCCCAGGGCTTCAGAAAGGCTCAATCCATACCTTGACTGCTTATTTCTTTTAGGGTCTTCTGCAGCAAAGATGTGGACTGTGCCGTGGTCGCTGGAGACGCAGATGAGGGAAGCATCCTGATTGAAGTTAATACTGCAGAGAACACAGAGAGCTGCAGGATCCCCCTGGGACAGACCCACAGCCCCTGGCTCACAGTTCTGCTGCTGCAGTTGCCCTCAGCAGCTGCCAGCCCGGTCTGGGGGGGGAACAGCTCCTCTCTGTAGGAGCTGGAGCTCCCCCAGTCCAGGGCTGCTTTGGGATGAACAGCCCAAATCCCCCAATCCAGGACTGCTTTGGGATGAACAGCCCAAATCCCCCAATCCAGGACTGCTTTGGGATGAACTGCCTGCACTCAGAACAGGGTCTGGAGTGTCAGGAGCAGCAGCAGCACCCCCTGACATGGACTCCATGGGTGGGGGCCACTCTGACACTGGAAGAAAAGGAGCTCTGCTCCAAGGAGTGGGCAAACGTAACACTCCTACCCTAGAAAG